TAGATTAATCCATTGTTATTCTCAGTAACATCAAATTCCATTTTTAATTAGCATTTGATTATCCTAAAAACGGACCTGTTCCGATTCAGGTTTTGGTAATACCTTTGATGATAAAAACTGGTGTTGATAAATGGCTGGTATAATTTATGTACTGTGTTTAAAACCACCATTGTTTAAAAAAGGTGCAGTGTAAAAATTTTACGATTGTTATTACTATGTACATTTCACAATTTGTCAGGATCGATCAAAAAGGGTCCATGTTTATTCGATATTGGCGCCGGTATCTCATTTAATTTAGTTATTTGTAGGTCTATTTAGTCCTGTTTATATTTTTATAAATTACATTTAGATATGAATAAAATATCTTTTATTTTTCGAACTTATGGTTATGCGACATAAGCGACATTCGAAAACATGCGCAACTGAAAAATAAAATCGACGTGTCTGAGCTCTTTTTACCCATATCTATATCAAGCGTTTAACGAATTCATTCCAGCCTTTACGTGCTCACTGTATAAAATACGTTTGTAGAAATTTTACGTCTAACAAATACCTTAATAAAATAGATTCAATTTAATAGAATGCTGGATGTTATGAGATTTTTCAATTTCAATAAAAAATACCGAATAATAAATGTCAGTAATTACCGAAAAAATTTAAAAAGCAGCCTCATCCGCGTGACTCGTTGAAGTGCTTTTTAAAGAGAAGTCCAAAATACCAGCGTGTAAGCGTATTTCAATGTAACACAAATAAATTGAACACCTAAATTTAGCATCCATCACCAAAAACAATCTTTTTATGGCCCATATATTATATTCATTATAAATAACATATAACGAATTTATGTGCGAAGTTTAAGTAAACTTTTGTTTAAAAAACAATGGAGATTTTTCAAGATTTGTTTTCATTCGGCCACTGATAAAATTGTTGGAGAACGTTTTTTTGTATTCCAAGGTTTGCTTATGTTTTCTCTGAAAACGAAAGTAGTTAAACATGTTGTTTTAAAAACCAAGTTTATATTTTTGTTAATTAACAGCCATTGTTATTGTTTATATGGGAAGTATGTTAATAAATAGATACATAAATATAACCCAAAGGATTTTAGTTAACAGCGAACTACATCTAAATTGTGAACTTTATCTAAACTACAAAGTCCAAAATGTAATTTTATTTTCATAAAAGATGTTATATTTGCTACTAAAAGAAGTGGATGTAGTATGTTATCCAGGATATCATAAATGAGTTGCCAAATCGGCTCCAAGAGGTCCTAAGGGCTAGAGGCGACAACACCTTACCCATTATTGATATTCAATTTTTTTTTAATTAGACTTTGATTTCCAAAATATTGTTAATTTGAATTTTCTTCGAAGATTTTATTCAATGGATTTTTACTGTAACAAATGACTTTTTTTCAAAAAGATTATTTTTTTTCCGTGGAGATAAAAATTGATAAAAAACATGTCTAGTTGTTAATGCACCTAACTTTTGTATTTATCCAACATAAGCAAATCAATCTAAAAACAAAATGTCGAAAAAGCATGAGGCTATAGTTACGATTTAATTTCAGTATTCTACAAATGCTAGAGTATTCCACAGGGTGATGCAAACTTTAAGAAAAAAATACAGTTTGATTCGTACACCCGGTATATAATGAAAATTTACCTGTTTAGCAACAATATTATAAAGATAGTGTCAAGGAATAAGGCTATAACAGAAAAATCATTTAAATCGTACAACAGGTTTAGGAGAAATAAAAAATGAAAAATTACCCATTTTTAATATAGCCGGTTAATTTTGGCCCAGAGTCAATATTACTACAGAAATTAATGTTTTTTATAATTACCTCGGTCAGTTGTTTATATATTTTATATATGAAACTCTCACAATAAAGGACTTTTTATGGTCTTCAACTTTTATTTTAAAACATTTTTCTTTATAGTGTAGAGCAGTGTTTCCCAAATAGTGGTCCGCGGACCCCCGGGGTCCGCGACATATTTTTCGAGGGTCCGCGAGCCCACGGCATAAAAAAAGAATAGGCAAAAATACGTTCACAATTTTTTGAAGTTTTAAGAATTAATGTTTGATCTGGCAACGGTGCTTGCTAACACATAAACACGTCATGGCTTCGGGCGTGGCCTTGCTTCGGGCGTGGCCTTGCGCCTACGCATTTTTTTTGTCTGAGCTTAGTTTCTCCTGTAACGTGTAAAGTAATGGTAACGTGACAACTTTAGAATCGATTTGGAAGCAGATACACACAATTTTTATTACAATTGTTCGGTTGATTAGTGACTAATAGTGACTAGTGTTTTTACTATGGATCGTTGGTTGAAAAGCGGCTCTTTGAAAAGACCACACTGTGATGATGAGACGGAACAACAACCAAGTATTTCTCAGGAGTCAGAAACTCAACCTAAGGCAGCGAATTCGACGCCAAAAAGTATTGGTAAGTTTCGTGGGAAGCAACGAAAATATAATGAAGAATATTTACAATTTGGATTTATTGAAAATACCGTCAACGACGAGTTAAGACCACAATGTGTTTTATGTTTTGATGTGCTTTCAAATGAATGTATGAAACCGGCAAAACTTCGACGTCATTTACAGCGAAAGCACCCTGAATCAGAGAATAAATCTATTGATTTCTTTCGATTGAAAATGAAAGAACTTAAAATAGTCAAAACGTAATAAAAACAGTTGCTTCTGGAAATGAAAAGGCCACACTTGTTTCTTTTCAAATAGCGGAATTAATCGCTAAATCTGGAAAGTCCCACACTATAGCAGAGGAGTTACTGCTTCCAGCTGCGCAGATTATGTGTAAGACCATGATTAGTGATTCTGCTGCAAACCAGTTGCAAGTAATACCTCTCTCCAACAACACTATAAAAAGAAGAATAACCGATTTATCCCTGAATGTTGAACAGATTTTAATTGCAAGACTCCAGATTTGTAAAATGTTCGCCATACAACTTGATGAAAGTACAGATATTTCAAATAAAGCAATTTTGTTGGTATTTGTTCGTTACGACTATGATGGTGAAATTCATGAAGACTTTTTGTGTTTACGGGAACTAATGCGTACTACAGCTGACTGTGTGTTTAACGCTCTCAATGATTTTTTTACTGAATCTAATATATTGTGGAACAAATGCGTTGGATTAAGTACAGACGGAGCCCGTGCTATGTCTGGAAAATTAACGGGTCTTGTGGCACTCGTGAAAAATGTAGCACCCAATATAATATGGACTCATTGCTGTATCCATAGGGAAGCTCTAGCTTGCAAAAAAATGCCGCCATCGTTAAAATTGGTCTTGGACGAAGTTGTTAAAATTATTAATTTTATTAAGGCCAGGCCGTTAAACTCCCGTGTTTTTCAAGCAATTTGTGAAGAAGCAGGCAGTGAACACATTCAACTCCTTTTACATACAGAAGTACGATGGTTATCCCGGGGAAAGATTTTGGCTCGATTTTTTGAATTGCGCAACGAAGTGCGACTTTTTCTAAGTGAGAATAAATTTGAATTAGCTGAACGACTTAACAATTTTTCTTGGATGTGCATGACAGCATACTTATCCGATATTTTTGTTTTTTTAAATGGACTGAATCTACAATTACAGGGCAAAAATGTAAATATTTTTAAAACTGACGAAAAAATAGAAGCCACCATACAAAAATTACAAATTTGGGCTAACCGTGTGGAACAATCATCTTTAAGTTCATTTCCGACTTTAGATTCGTTTCTGAAATCCGAGGAAGAAACTTTGCCACAAGAGATTCAACTTATAATTTGCGAGCATTTGCGGAATGTAGTTATAAGTTTTCGTGAATATTTTCCTGCACCAAATGATGAAAACAGCTGGATTAGAAATCCGTTTGTTACATCAAGAATTGAAGAAAATGCTAGTCTTACAGAAAAACAACAAGATCAGCTCGTGGACTTGTCTTGTAGCAGTTCTAAAAAAGATATTTTTAACGACAACGATTTAATTCAGTTTTGGATTAAAATTAATTCTGATTACAACGATCTCTCCGAAAAGGCTATGAAACATTTGATTCCATTTTGTACGACGTATTTATGTGAACAGGCTTTCTCTGTATACGTTATTTTAAAATCAAAACAAAGAAATCGACTGGATGTTGTTTCAGATCTAAGGTTAAAAATTTCAAATATTAGACCTGATTTACAAAAAATTATGAAGGAAAAATCAGTGTTCCATTCTTTTCATTAAAATTTAAAACTGCTGAAAATTTATAAGTTTTATAATGTAATCATTGTATTTTATTTCTATTTTCTTTTATTAATTATTAATTAAATAACATATTTAAAAAACGCAATAGTTGTTTTTTTATTTTTCTAACGAAACTGTTTCTGGGGGTCCCCATGATCCTATTGTCTAATTTTGGGGGTCCGCAATTTTGAGACATTTGGGAAACACTGGTGTAGAGTAAACATTTTATAGGCAAAAAACCATGTTTTTCACGTTTTAAGACTATAATACGTTTTTACGGATTTTTCATCAGCTACCTCTCATATACCTTTTAGAACCTACAAATGACTATAAGATTTTTTCACCCTTTTTTCTTCATTCACTGACGTAGCACTAAAGTCCCCCAAAACGGTGAACAGATAAAAAATAAACAGTACACAAACTTTATTTTTATCAATAGCAACAAATTATAAAAAAAAATTTAGATAAAAAAGTTTAGAGGCTTTTCAGGTGATACGCAAAACTTATTTGAGTGTGAGTGCATATAAATTCAGCATAGTAAGAAATAAGAAACAATTAACTAGTCAGAATATTATAAAATGTTTTTTAGGTTTTATTTTTTTTTTTTCAGGAAAATGTAAAGTTGAACATTATTAAACATTACCAAATGTTATATTGGTATCAATAAAAATTTTAAGTTTTATAAAATACGTTCGTGTTTTTAATTAGATATTTAAAGTTATCATAAAATTATTTTTCTGTGTAGTAAAATAAGGTTATAACAAGAAAATTACGGGCTTTTGTAATCCTTTAATAAAAACTGTTACAGTGTGTAGTGTTACAAACTTATTTTATTTTAAAATTCTTCAATAAACATTTCAGGATAAAGAAATATTGTTTTCTTCTTTCCTTCTTGTATTAAGCTGACTTTTACGGTTTTATTGTAGTCCGACGACGAATAAAGATCAGCAGGATTTGACACTGGAATGTCGTTGATGTGAGTTATTATATCTCCTGCCTTTAGGCCTCCCCTAAAATATTGCTCTTTTAGTATACTATGATAAGCTTATTTTTAAAGAAAAAAAAACAGAAACTGCTGATAAATTCCGCATATATTTAAAAAACTTTTGGGCTTATAATATATATATATATACAGGGTGGTCCTTAAGTAATTGTACAAAAAGAAACCGTAGATTCTACACTTTAAAATATTAGGATTTAAGTCAAGTTGCTTTAATAAAATGTTAATATTAAGAAAGATACAGGGTGTTAAAGTAGAAATTTAAAATTTTATTTTTTGCTATAACTTTTATGTTTGTCAACATTTATGTATAAAAATTTACAACTGGATAGTATTAAATATCAGAAATTTTAATTTGATGTACACTTTGATGTATCTGATAGAGGGCGCCACATATGCCACATACGTGGCATATATTTGCACTTAAATTTTTTGCTACTCAAGTTATGGGTATTTTTATTAAAAAATATTAAAGATACATTATTTTAACAAAAAAAGGTATACTTCTTAATATCCTCAAAACTCAACAGTTTTCGAGATAATCGCATTTTAGAAATCAACTACATAATTCTGATTTATCTTAATTACTCCAGACAACGAAAGAAAATTAAAGAAATACCTCAATACTTCTGAATTTTGGTATAAAATACCTTTAATAAAGTTAATAGTTAACGAATTATTAAATAAAATAAATATATCAGCAGGATAAAATAACAGCATTTGATAAATAACAGAATAATTGGATTTTACATCAAACATTTTACGTTTTGTATTAAATTAAAGGCATAATCAAAACACTTTATTTACAAACCAAATTAAGAAATAGTTAAACTAAATAACGTTGAACTTTTTGTCAAAGTAAGTTTTTAATATGTCCACCATTTTCTTTAATTCATTTGTCAATACATTCCATAAAATATCGTCTCATATTAAATAGCATCATTGGTTCTAAAGAAACTGCTGCAGTATTTATTATAAGTGTTATACGTATAATAATAAGTAATTTTTTGAAATTTTTATGAATTAAATAATTATATTAATATCTCACCACAAGAATATGACTATCACGAACAATCCAACGTTCAGGAAAGTTGTTTTTAAACACTGTCTCACTCCACTTTCTCTTTAACGTAATGGTGTACCATTTTGTAGAAACCACATATTTCGCCTTAAGTTTGATGACAATTCTTTGAATAAATCAATAAAATAATTTTATAAAAAATGTAAATAAATCTCGACATTCAAATTGCAAAGTAATTCGCATATCCGTAAAAAATAATTACCAATGGGTCCAAACCATATGACATGCATTTTAAATATGAATTTTAAATGATATTTTATAGATATGCGAATTACCTTGCAATTTGGATGGTTAGATTTATTTAGATTTTTATAAAATGATTTTATTGATTTATTGGAAGAATTGTCATCAAATATAAGGCTAAATATTTGGTTTATGCAAGATGGTACACCAATACATTACAGAGAAGGGGGGGTGAGAGTATTTAAAAAAAACTTTCCTGAACGTTGGATTGTTCGTGATAGTCATATTCCTTGATTATGTGGTAAGATATTAATATAATTATTTAATTCATAAAAATCCCAAAAGAATACCTATTGTTATACTTATAATAAGTACTGCAGCTGTTTCTTTAGAACCAATGATGCTATTTAATATGAGACAATATTTTACAGAATGTATTAACAAATGAATTAAAGAAAATGGTGGACATATCGAACACTTACTTTGACAAAAAGTTTAATGTTATTTAGTTTAACAATTTCTTAATTTGGTTTGTAAACAAAATGTTTTGATTATGACTTTAATTTAATACAAAACGTAAAATGTTTGATTTAAAATCCAATTATTCTGTTATTTTATCGAATGCTATTATTAATTATCCTGCTGATATACTTATTTTATTTAATATTTCGTTAACTATTAACTTTATTAAAGGAATTTTATAACAAAATTTAGAAGTATTGATGTTTTTATCTATTTTTCTTTCATTGCCTGGAGTAATTGCGTTAAATCAGAATTATGCAGTTGATTTGTAAAATGCGATTATCTCGAAAACTGTTGAGTTTTGAAGTTATTAACAAGTATACCTTTTCTTTGTTAAAATAATGTATCTTTAATATTTTTTATCAAAAATACCGCTAACTTGAAGAACAAAAAAGTTAAGTGCAAATGTATGCCACGTATGTGGTATATGTGGCGCCCTCTATTGGCTATATCAAAGTATGCATCAAATTATAATTTCTAATACTAAATAGTACCCAGTTGTAAATTTTTATACATAAATGTTTACAAACATGAAAGTTATAGCGAAAAATAAAATTTTAAATTTCCACTTTAACACCCTGTATCTCTTTTAATATCAACATTTTATTAAAGCAAGTTGACTTAAATCGTGATATTTTAAAGCGTAAAATCTGCGGTTTCTTTTTGTACAATTACTTAAGGACCACCCTGTATATATATATATATATATATATATATATATATATATATATATATATATATATATATATAGCAAAACTGGTAAGATTATCGACCGAAACGTAAATAACAATTTATTGTGTTGGAATATCGGGTATGCGGTCTGTTATTATAAAAAAAAACTCTTTTTTCTTTTAATCCTCTATATTTCGCTGATTTTTTGCCAGCTTCATCAGGAGACAAAGATTTAGAGTGGAAAGTATTTAAATTTTCCAAAAGTGGAAAGTGGAAAGATTTCCACTCTAAATCTTTGTCTCCTGATGAAGCTGACAAAAAATCAGCGAAATATAGAGGATTAAAAGAAAAGAGAGTTTTTTTTTAATAATAACAGACCGCATACCCGATATTCCAACACAATAAATTATATATATATATATATATATATATATATATATATATATATATATATATATATATATATATATATATATATATATATATATACTAAGCCCAAGAAACTATCCAACATCTTAACGGAGGCTGCCAGGCATTTGCTTCAACTGAATATAACGAACGGCATGACTTAGTAGGGAAGATCCTCTATCAAGAGATAGCTTTTAAACTGGGACTTCTACAAACAAACCATCTCCCATATTATTAATACGTTCCTGAGAGTATGCTTGAGGATGACAACTACAAGCTATACTGGGATCGCACTGTGTTCACAGACCAAACTGTAGCACATCATAGACCAGATCTCGTGCTAATAAATAAACTACTACAACTACTACAACTACTACAATAAAGACAAACAACTCTAATCGATGTGGCGATACCTAACACCAATAATCTGCGTGTTAAGTAGAACGAAAAGATCGCCAAGTACAGAGATCTGGAAATACAAATAAGAAGACAATGGAGAATGGAAAGTACCCAGACGATACCTATTATTCTTGCTACCACTGGAGTCATTCCGAAGAACCTCCTAGAAAACATAAAAAAGCTAGGTCTAAATGAACATCTATATAAGGTCAAGCAGAAAGCTGTGCTACTTTCGACGTCCAGATGCGTGCGAAAATTTTTAGGGGATACACCGACGTACCAAGTCACCTAGGATTCGATAATATGGAAAGAGTCCCACCAGAGCTCAATCCTTTTGATACCGTAGCTATCTGGGATGAGTGAATTTTCCCCTTAGAGGGAGTGTGAGCCGTACGGCTAAATCTGAATAAACTAAACACACTAGCACAGAGCTGTTGTTATAACAAAGTTAACAATAAAAAAGATTTTGTACTTTACTTTAGGGCGCATTTCAAATTAAAGGATTCTGACCCGAAAACGAATGTCAAATTGCCGGCATTTTCAATTATAGTCAATTTTTTAATTTTATATCTACACTTTACTGTTATAGGTTAGGCTAGGTTAGGTTAGGTTATATTTTCACCACGGTTACCAAGAGAATGGTATGTTTGTTTAACACCTTATTATTCTTCACTCACCATTCATTGAACTGATGAAGCTTGTAAATTCAATTAGCGAAACGTCTTCAAATATAGAAATGGAACTGTGATTTCCTTTTATTATTTCTCCTTTGACCGATATCCTCGTGACCAAAAGATTTATTTCTTCTGGAAAATATATATGTATACATGGAAATCTCCGAGTGACACCAAAGGTAGAGTAGTCAGAAACCAAATTGACTTTGTCCTTGTTAGTCAAAGATTCCGCAACTCTATACTCTCAGCTAAAACCTACCTAGGAGCAGATATAGGCTCGGATCACAATCCTGTAGTAGTCACGTTAAGAATAAAACTAAGGATCATTAAAAAACACATACAGAAACAAATTGACGTGAGAAGACTGAATGAACTACATATAAAAGAGAAAACAATAGTGAACATTAAAGAAAATTTACAAAATATAGAGAAACTGAATAGAAATACTGATAACATAGACCAAAAATGGGAGAATATTAAACATGCCGTAATCTTGGCAGGGAGAGAAAATTTAACACCGAAAGAAAGGAAACATAAAGAATGGATGAATGAGGAAATACTACAGTTGATGCGTGAAAGAAGGGTACACAAAACAACTAATCCGATAAGATACACAGAAACAGATAAACTGATAAAAAAAAAATAAGAGAAGCTAGAGAAAGATGGCTAATATGACTTTTTTAATGTACACAAAAAGATTAAAGAAATTACAGGAAGGAGAAGAACAACACAGACAGGACAGATCAAAGATACATATGGTATAATTATAACAGATTTACAACAAAAAATGAACCGATGGACAGAATACATATCACAACTGTTTGATGACAAAGATAGACAAGAAATCTCAAACGAATATACAGATGATACAGGGCCTGATATAATCAGAGAAGAAATAGAATATGCAATCAAACAAGCAAAAAGTGGTAAGGCCCCGGTCCTGATGAAATTCCCGTAGAACTGCTCAAACTTATGGACGATGAATCTATTAAAATACTCCTAGATCTATTTAACACAATATATAGAACTGGAATAATACCTAGGGAATGGCTCCGTTCGACCTTTATACTACTGCCAAAAAAGGCAAATAAAAAGGAATGCAACGAATATCGTACGATAGCTTTGATGAGTCATGCTCTAAAACTGTTCTTAAAAATAATCCATAATAGGATCTATAGGAAATTAGACGTAGACATCAGTAACACTCAGATGGGATTCAGAAAAGGGCTGGGTACAAGGGAGGCTCTGTTTGCAATGAACGTTCTCTCACAGAGATGCTTAGACATGAACCAAGAAATTTACGCCTGCTTTATTGATTTCGAAAAGGCCTTTGACAAAGTACAACATGAACCACTAAGAAAAGTTCTAATAAAGAAAAATATAGACAGCCGAGATATTCGAATTATATGCAATCTATATTGGAATCAAACAGCAAATGTCAAGGTTGAGGGCAGACTAACAGAAGAAATTCAAATCCGTCGAGGAGTCCGGCAGGGATGTATCTTATCGCCACTTTTATTTAATCTGTATAGTGAAGCTATCTGTGAACAAGCACTCGAGGAAGAAGATCTTGGTCTGATAATAAATGGTGAGACGATCAACAATATAAGGTATGCTGACGATACAGTTCTCCTAAAGGGAACGCTAGTAGAACTACAATATCTCGTTCAAAGTCTCAATACATACTGTAACAGTTACGGCTTGAAAATTAATTTGAAAAAAACTAAATTTATGGTAATCACGAAATCAAAGAACATCAGAGCTAATCTTGTAATAGACAATACAACGATTGAGCGTGTGCCTGTTATAAATATCTAGGTGCTTGGATCACAGACGATACTGATCAAACAAAAGAGATTAGATGTAGAATAGAAATCGCTAGATCAGTCTTTAATAGAATGCGCAAACTCTTTTGCAATCGTGATATCAATATAAAGTTACGAATACGAATGCTGCGGTGTTATGTTTTTTCTACCCTGTTATATGGAGTTGAGGCTTGGACACTAAAACAGTTGACAATAAAAAACATTGAAGCTTTCGAGATGTGGTGCTATAGGCGCATTCTCAGAATATCATGGATGGACCGCGTCACTAACATGCAAGTACTCCAAACTTTAGACAAAAGATGCGAAATTCTAAATGAGATAAAAACTAGAAAGATGGAATACTTGAGGCACATTGTGAGAGGTGAAAAGTACGAACTTTTAAGAAACATCATGCAGGGCAAAATTAAGGGCAAAAGAAGTGTGGGAAAAAGAAAAATATCGTGGCTTCGTAATCTACGTGAATGGTTCGGGTGTAGTTCGATTGAACTTTTTAGGCGCGCTGCTAACAAAGTCGCAGTGGCCATGATGATTTCCAATCTCCGCTGGGAGTGGCACGAGAAGAAGAATATGTATACTACAAACTACAAACACAACTATTTGGGTATGCAGCGGAAGACAGGATAAAGAAAAAGTACTCTTTTTAGTACACCAAGCTTTTGCAAATCTTTATTTGCATCAAGATCAGCTAGTTTACAAACTCTTGTGGTCGTTTGTTTTATCAAGAATAACTTTCGTGCTGGACTTGTGGTAAGAATGTTAGTTGAGTTTTGATCCTCTTTTTCAAGAATAAATTGAATGTGGGGGTCAAAGCTATTAAAAATGTTAAAAATAATAGAGCCCAGTCTCTAAGCCTAGTGGACACGACATAATAATGTCATCAACATGCTTTTTAATAAAAAAGAAACGTTAAAAGGAACAAACAGATCCTCCATTACGTATGTAGCCAGAATTGGAGAGATACTGGCTCTCATAGGATTGCCAAAAATATGTTTATATTTTATCTTAAAAGAAAAACAAGTGCAATTAAACAAGAACTTTATTATCTCAATAAAGATATCGTAATCAATGCTACATACTGCAGAAATTTTATTCCAGTGTTTATGAATAGATCGTAGAACGGCATTTAAGTAAACATTACTGAAGAGGGAAACCACGTCTAGACTGACAGGAACATAATTATGTGGTAAGACAGTTCTGTTATACAACTCAACAATAAAATTTGGAAAGAATCTCTGATGTAGTAATGATTATTCGAATCCTAAGCTTTAGTCCAAATATTAGTGAGAAAGCCTGATTCACTTGGTGAGCCTATGAAGGAAACTGTAGTTGTCATAGTTAAAGTAGGTTTATGGACTTTAGGAAGGCTGTAGAAGTTAGCAGCAACACTTTTATAGAATGAGAGTTTCTTTTTGGTGCTCGAATCAATTTGTTTCTTTCGTAAAGGCGTCTTAATAGGGCATTAGATTTATGTTGAATATTACCAGTTGGATCACTAGGGTGGGTTATGTAGGATGAATCGTGATCAAGAATCTCTTGAGAAAGTTGATAAAGTAATCATCTTTCAACATTACTACGGTAACATAACCTTTGTCAGATTTAGTTACTACTAACTTATGGTGGAATTTGAGAAAACGTTTAGTTTCTTTAAAGAAACTTTGGAGGAAAGAAGGTAATTCCTACGTTTAAACGAGTTATTAGTGATTATGTTAACCGATTTGGAAATCGTAATACTTTTACAGTCAGGATCCGGGATAAATGATGATATAAAATTAATATCTGATAAAAGCGGTTTGGTGTTGCACCCTGATGATGCAAATATATTATTATGATGCAAATAGGTTATTTAATAATATCTAATATTTAATAATTATATATTATTATATCAATATATAAGATAATTAAGGGTAATATATTTTTTTAAACAATTCCTCATTTTCATTAACGCAATAAAATTAAATTTTACTCTTTCAACCCTTCTAGATCGAACTTATTAATTATTAACATATTTACTTGAAAGCGGCTGTCCCAGGTAAAATTTTCCAGACGAGCAGTCCTTGTTTGATGTCTTTCGGAATATCTTTGTTATTTCTTAGTAGCTCACTTACAACCTCTGGTGTAATCGAAATCGTCGTTATGCCAAACAAATTTTTTCCCATCGGACCAGCGTACTGCAGCCCCTTCACTCTGTATTTGCCGTTCTCCAGAAACTTCTTCGCATATTCTTAAAGAAAAAGTTATGATTAAAACAGTTTGCCACAAGTTACCGTGGTACAATTTTCACAAAAAAGTGTTTATCAACCAGAGGCGGAGACAAACAAAAAGTAAAATATTAGTAAAATAATACTTTTAAAAGGCAAATGACAAACAAACAGTGTATTGTAATAAAAATACATTCTTTTGCTTTTGACGTTTTGATATTCACAGCGAAGACTAAAAAAATCCTGAAATAAAGTAGGTAAGCTAAATATTGCCACTGTTATTAATGCTTGCTGCCACACCCTATATAACAGAGAGTATCGATGCACGCTAGTTGGTGACATCAAGATTGAGGAAAAAATTAGATTTCTACCAACCGAGAGAACAGGCAGAATTCCGATCAAATTATGGTACCAATGACTACCTCTATACAGTAAAGACACCGATTGAAAAATCTATAGAATACAACAAACCTCTTTTTCTCACTTTCATAGATTTTAATAAAGCGTTCAACACGATCGAAATATGACACCTTATGCAAAGATGCATAAGCAAAGATGTTAACTGTGATGTGTATACTTGTTTTATCGACTACAAAAAGGCATTTGATAGAGTAAAGCATGATAAACTTATAAACATCTTGAAAGAAGTGGGGTTAGATGATAGGGACTTGAGAATCATCTATAATATATATTACAACCAAACAGCCAATATTAAAGTGGATGACCAATTGACAGAGGCAGTCTCCATAGATAGAGGAGTGAGTCAAAGATGCATTCTGTCCCGGTGTTATTTAATATATACTCTGAATATATCTTCGAGCAAGCGCTGGGAGAACTACAAGAAGACGTATTAGTCAACGGAATGCGTCTCAAAAACATTAGATATCCCGACGACGCAGTAGTTTTTGCAGATAGTCTGGACGGTTTGCAAAGAATAATGTCGCGTATATCAGATATAAGTAGAGAACACGCACTTGATCTTAATACGAAGTAAACAAAGTACATGGTAGTCGGTAAGCGCGAAATATTAAATACACAGCTTTTGGTTAACCAACATCTAATTGACAGAGTGGACAGCTACATATACCTTGGTACCAACATTATTAGCCAATGGGATCACTTCAGTGAAATAAAACAACGCATAGGAAAAGCGAGATCAGCGTTCATAATGATGAAGTCTCTTTTCAGAAGTCACGATTTACCACTTGCTACAAATATCTCTCTCATTAGATCATAAAATCGCAAAGAATAAAGAAGTTTAAGGGGCTATGTTCAGCAGTGGACGTGATAAATGAAGGCTTGATGATGATGATCAAAGCACGCTGCAAGTAAGGCAGCAACAGTAGCAAGTGTCTTTGTCTACCAGCAATTGGTTTCCATTCGGTGGTTTTAGTTTATGCTACCCATCAGATGTACGAGCTCGCTATTTCTTTTTCGTATCCATGTTATAAATAAATCTGTTTATTCAGTTGACTCTACGTAAAATATAATACAATTTTGAATTTTTGGAATTTTAAGTTTAGGTAAGTGCACTCCAATGGGCAGTATTTTATGAATTATTTCAAATGCAATTTTAAGTGATGTTTTTTTTCTGTACGCCATTTATTTTTGATATTGCTGTCGTTAACAATTTCTAATATATCTAGTGGTAATATTAAAGACTGAATATTAAACTCTTCAACAGAATGCTAAGAAAACAAACTGAGTGGTTAGAAGATCTACGCTTGGCGCTGCAAGCCATAGCGAACGGAATGTCCATCAAAGGTAAAACAAGCATTACAACATTTCTCGCTCAACGCTAGGTTTTTATCACAGAACACAAAATCCTGCTAAGAAGCTTGAAGGACCAAGTCCCCAGATCACTGGTGTTGTCTCCAGCACAAGAAAATGATCTTGTCTAAAGAATTTACAGATTAGGTAAGGTAGGGAGTCTATTACAAGATTCTAATGAAAAGTATGTTTTCTTACGCTACAATAAATCATATACCCAATTCGTTTACTAAAGGCTCAAATAAATCTGGTAGAAAATGACTAACCTTTTTCTTGTGCAGAAATCCAGACATAGCTAGGCACAAAGCTAAACAAATGAATATGGCTCAAGCCCAAAAAATGAATTAAACAATCGTTGATGACTACTTTCATAAACTGAAAGATAGAACAAAAAAGCTAAGCCTATTTGACAAACCTGGTAGCATATATAATAGCAACAAATTGTTTTCGCTAAAAGTGGACCAAAACGGGTCCATTTAACCACACCCAAGCATGGACAAAACGTGTTAATTGTAGGTTGTGGAAATGCGCTCGGTTAACATTTATCACTTTTTGTGGTTTTTAAACGCCAAAGGTTTAAACTTGACTTGAATAGTCTGATCACTTACCACCTACTCAAAAGCCATTATCACAAATAAAGATAGTACAACATGCGAAACATGTGTCTCGTATCGTGATCATTTCTCTTCATTCAGACACCCTGGTCCTACCCTACTAATATTTCATTGAGGCAACTAATCGCAGGGACATAACTTTTTTTGTCTTTCTAGAAATACGTCACTCGAGCTGCAGCCTATGGAGAAAGCAGTGTTTAAAAGCTTCGAGATATTTTGGAACCAAGAAGTCCTACAGTTTTCAATAACAAATTCTGCCAAGGCGATTACCAAAATAAGGTTTGGAGAAATTTTTACTCCAGTTTGCCTAAATACAATGACTGTTAAGAAAGAAATAACAAAATCTTATCCAGGGTCTAATCAAGTAACCAAAAGCCTCAGGTCTAGATGAAATATACGTAGAGATGATAAAGCTTATCAATGAAGACAATCTTCAGACGTTAACAATATTATTTAACAAAATATATACCACTGGAATCTTCCCAGAAGACGGGCTTAGATCGACATTTATACCTATACCCAAGAAAAATAAAGCAAATAGATGCTCACAGTTCAGATTAATTAGCCTAATAAGCCATTTTCTGAAACTTTTACTCAAAATTGTACATCAACGAATATACAGAGAATGCGAAAGAAACCTGAGCGACAATCAATTTGGATTTCGTATGGGGCTTGGTACAAGGGAGGCATTATTTGGCCTCCAGATATTACTACCAAACTGCCGAGATCAGCGAAAAGACGGGTTCTCTGTTTTATCGACATAACACATACTCGAACTCAAAAGAAACCCTAACACAACATGGTATAGACCATAACACTGTACCACTTATTAAAAAACTATATTGGGATCAAATAATGTCTATCAAAATAGACAATCGTTTGACAGCATAATTGCCAATAAAAAGAGGAGTTCGTCAGGGCTGTGTACTTTCTCCACTGTTATTCAATATATATTCCCAAAAGATCTTTCAAAATGCCCTAGAAAATATTGAAGAAGGAATAAAAATCAACGGAGAATGCGTAAACAATTTAAGATACGCAGACGACACCATCATTATTGCGGACAGTGCTGAGGGTTTACATTGGTTTACATTGCTAGGTCGGCATTTCAACGAATGAAAAAACTCATAATAAACTCTGCGTTATCGTTGAATATCCGACACCCATTTGTAAAAACGTTTATTTATTCCATATTGCTATACGGAGTGGAAACATGGACTCTCGGAATTACAAGTATAAGGCGTATAGAAGCCTTTGAGATGTAAGTTTTTCGAAGGATGCTGAAGATCTCTTGGACAGAGCACGTCACCAACAATAAGGTGCTAAGAAGAATGGGTACTGAGAGAGAACTTCTAAATAATGTGAAAAACAGAAAAACGAGTTATCTACGACATATTTACAGAGGAGAAAAATATAACTTACTACGACTTATAATGGAAGGGAAAGTGGAAGGAAGAAGAGGTACAGGAAAAAGAAAATGCTCCTGGTTGAAGAATGTAAGAGACTAAACAGGTATGGACACACATTCGATACTAAGAACCGCTTAAGATAGAGAACAATTTGCTGTAGTTATAGCCAACCTTCAGTAATGGAGAAGGCACCTTAAGAAGAAGAATCAAGTAACAACTTTTGAGTCCAAATGCTTAAATAGTTCTCTTAAAGATACATTATTGCTGGTTACACCGCATTGCAAGAATTGTGCAGCGTTATCGTCAAGTCAAGAAATAAAATGTAGAATAGAGAAGGCTAGGAGTGCATTCAAAAACATGGCCAAACTCTTTAAAAGCCACAATCTTAATCTGGAGATAAAAGTAAGGCTCCTACGATGTTATATCTTCTCAATATTGTATTACGGAGTTGAATCCTGGACACTAACTAAAGCAATGGAGAAAACACTTGAAGCCTTCGAGATGTGGCTATACAGGCGAATTCTAAGGATATCATGGACAGACAAGATAACCAACGAGACCGTATTACGAAGAGTGGGCAAAGAAAGAGAGGTGATGTATACCATTAAAAGGAGAAAGTTGGAATATCTCGGGCATATAATGAGAAACAGCACTAAATACAGATTAGTGAAGATAATCCTACAGGGTAAAGTATTCGGAAAGCGAGGAATTGGGAGAAGGAGAATATCATGGTTGAAGAACCTGAGGAAATGGTTCTCAACAACAACAACGAATCTATTTAAAGCATCAGTTAATAAAATAATTATAGCCAGAATGATTGCCAATATTCGAAACGAATAGGCACTAAAAGAAGAAGAATCGTCAAAAGGTTGAAATTCCTGCCATGGTTTGGCCTACGAGAAGTTCCGACCTCAACATAATAGAACATTTGCAAACACAAAAAATAGATTAACAGTTTTTGTTGGGGTACGTGTGAAAAAAAAACAATCTATCTGGATAGAGTTGAGGTGAAGAATTATAAAATTGATGAAAAATGGAAATTCAGAATGAAAAGTAGAAGGTAGCAAAGACTTTTTAAATTAAATTACAAAAATCTTAAATTAAATAGCATACATGTTGAAATTGACTTAAGGGCAAAAAATATAAATTGGAAAGACATCTCATATCTTATCTAGGATTCAAGGGGAGGGTTGAGTATGCAATTTTATATCCCCTCGGTAACTTTACGTTTTTTTTTATATTTTTTGGTGCGTAAAAATTAACAGAAATTTTTACCAAAACTTAGAATATTCGTTTTGATTTATTATATGAGTTACATTATTTAATAATTGAAATTTTTTTATTATAACTATCTTGGGACATAAAAATATTAGGAAATATTGAATACCGGTCATCTTATGTTTAAAAGAATGATTGGATGATGAGGTATCATGTAATCGGTTTGGGTAAATTTTCAGAAAACTAAAAATTTTAGTGTAGAATTAGTAGAATTCTTTGAAATGGTTAACTCTTAAAAAGTTAATAACGTTGTTACTTTCTAACTCTAAAGTAAACTTAGTTGCTGGATGTAAGTTGGTAAGCAATAACAGAACGATATGGGGTTTTGTGGATGGATTTTATATGAAGGCTAAAATAGCATCTACTGTATAATAGATGATATTCTAGCCTTAACATAAGGTCCTTTGTAGGTCATTTGTAGGTTTTTGCAAATAAAAGGTAATTGATGAGTGGAATGGTGTCTAATCTGGGAACATTAGTGCAAAGATTTGTTACATCAAAAGAAACAATAGTAAAGTTGTTTGGAAAAGTACTTGAAAAAGCTTTATAAATATAAAGTGTTGTTAAAAATATTATTAATTAGATCTTGGATAAGAGTGTTAATAAATTTTGCCAGTGAAACTAATGGAGTATTGACAAAACTAACTACTGGAACTCTTTATCAATCATTAACTTTATGAATTTTTGGAAGACCGTAAAGACGTGGTATTAAAGGAATGCTCGAAAAAAAAGATTTGGTTTTAATTTTAAGTTCTCGAGAAAAATCGTGGCTTTAAAAATTTACAGTTTTAGGTCATTTCCAGGTTTTTTCTTTAGATTTTTGCTTCATTTCCAACCTCTTTTGTATAATATATTCCTAAATTATCATTCGAATAGGGCAGATAAAATTAAACCTTTAGAACAGTTGTTTTTTATTATTAAGTACAAAACTAATTACTTTGTTTAATGTGTATTTTAAGAAAGGTTTCCGAAGTGGAAATCTAAACGTCAAAACAAAAGTATATTGAACTAATATTGTGGTTTACATTAAAGATAATAAAGAATTTACAAATAATAATAGATACAAATTGGTTAAACACGTTAAATTGTCTAATATGGTCACATCCTTTTATAATTCGGTATTAATTAAACCTCCTGATTAAAACTAACCATTGTTACCGCAACAACCATCCCAACTTTGGCTTTATACACACACAAACACCAAAGTTAACTAGGAATTCAATTACGTAATGAGTGCACTCACCTACGGGAATAGCGAAGGATATTCCGGACGTCAGCCGGAGATTGTTGATTCCTATAACGTTGCCATCTAAATTCACTAGAGGCCCGCCCGAATTTCCGAAGGTAATCGCGGCGTCCGTCTGGATGTATGACATCGAGTCATTTTTCAACCCCAAGTCTTGGGCGGGACGATTAACGCAGCTTATCTGAAAACACAAGGTGGTTAAATTCTGTACCCCTGTAAATACTCAAATGTTTTTTATATTTAACCAAGATTATTATATTATTATTGTTGTGTATATAATCGTTTTTCATTCCATGAAGTCTTATAGAACTTAAAGTTTACCGTTCATATTATAATTTTTTTTTTAAATCTGTAGTTGGACATAGTGTTGTTTGCCTCCAACAACTTTTTTCAATAATGTGACATTAAATTTTAAGGTCTCTACGAAATAAATAAGACAAACACATTAAACAGCCTATAGTATTATTTTATTAGAGACAAATATTCTAATGTTATAATAATTAAGTAAAATTATAGAAGACAAATCTCAAAATTGTTAAAGAGGCTGCATATCATCTTCATCTTCTTGGGGGTAATCGTTTGTGGCTACATTGCGGTGTGTTAAATTTTGGTAAAATTCATGACTACAATAAAATTCAAGCCTACAGAACAAAAGGCAATAATGCAATTAAGTCATTGTACTTTTGTTTTGTGATTGGAAATGGGATTACTAAGACTTGGGCTGGAAATAATACTTGCTGGTCTTATAAAAGAGCTTTCCAATGTGTTCTTGTTGGACGTGTAGAAAAGCACATGTTGGCAGTAGCACAGGCACATTCTTTTTGTGACAGTTTCTTATCGAACAACGGTTTGAAGTTTTTGAAATCTATATCTATATCTATATCTATTTGAAATCCCATGGTCTATTGCCAGTCGTATGGTGTTAAAGTGGCTAAATTGGAGAGCTTCTTTTCTTTTTCTCTCGATCAAAGTATGAACACTGTCTGCTTCTATGTATGTACCCTTTCTGTAAAAACTTTTAAATGATCATCATTATTTGAGGGTATGTTTAAAGTATACAATAATAGTACATTATAATACTCATATTTTTATTTTGTCCATAGCAGTTATCGGTCTAAAGAGTTATGACCTCTACTTGACTACCTGGAATTGTATTGTCAGCCCATTTTAAAATTGACAAGGCAATTTCATTCGTCCCTTTCACTACACAATAAACTGCACTGTTATTGGTTTAGTATTATCGTAGTATAAGCTTATAAATAAATATATATACATAAATTAGAACTACTTGTTTTATTTGTAAAACGCTACAGTGGTGTTACGGTGTAAGGTAAATTATTTATTTAAAAATAAATTCAGCAACGAATTTTATAAAAGACTTTGGAACTTTTGTAAAGTATTGTTTGTAAGGAACATCCACGTAGTTCGTTAGTGATCTTTGTAAGAAAGAACATTTAAAAAGTACCTGTATGCCTGACCAAAGATGTGTCTTGCAGAACTATCGGTAAAACAGTTACGTGAACAACTGGACAGGACAAGAAACGGCTGTTTCCTTGACTGCTGCTTTACAAGGTGACGCTGCGGATGTCCTAAGATCGATTTCTAAGAACCAAAAAACAATGTTACCAGACCTTGTTCACTCGACTAGATTAACGTTACGGAGATGCCCATCTACAACAAGTCTACAAAACACAACTAAGAAGTAGAATTCAACCAGCACGTAAAAATATGCTAGGGTTTTAAAGAGACGTTGCTTATATAGTGCGGTTGGATTATCTAGAGGTACCAGACAGCATTTTGGAAGAAATTTCTGTAGATACCATCGTTGATGGGTTGAAAGATAGTAAATTACAAAAAGCTTCACGACTAGCAAGAACGAAAGTTCTAGATAAAGCGCTAGCTATTATCTTGGAACATGAAACCGCTAGTCAAACTTCACGGAGCCATCTAGGAAGAACCATTAAAGAAGGCGACGAACAAACGATCAACGTTTGGAAGAAATGGTACGAAAAGTAGTTCGTAACACAATGCCGAAAAACATAAGTCCAGATGTAGGCATTGTGGTGACGTAGGCCTCATTCAACGTAATTGCAAAAAAATGATACAATAGTCGGAAAACTAAAACCGGTCGACACCAAAGGGCAGCCGCTGACCTCGAGAACCAAAGCCTCCATAGTAATTGCTAACTGAACATCCTTCAGTGGAATTCATAGCTTGTCCATCTAGGGTCGTATCAATAATAAATGTAGATTAATTTTGGTGGATACAGGTGCTACAAGAACTATTGCACGTCCAACAGTAGTACAAGGCCATCTTAAATTATCACCTGCAAAAGTAAAGTTTAGAACAGCAACTGGTGAGCTAATTAATACATATAGCGAGGCTAATATGTCAGTATTCATTGGCCAGACCACAGTAAAACACAGAGTAATAATTGCAGGATTTAGTAGGAAAAGTTGGGGCTGTAATAAATGTTAAATGTAGTTCTCGAGATCAGTGGTAAAGAGTTTTCGTTTCGTGAAAACAAAGAAGATGTTATTAGATTACTAACTACTTGTGACGCAACAATACCCGGTAATAGTGAGAAAATTTTTATGACCAGACTTCATGGTCACTGGCGAGAAAGAGGTTTAATGATCGAGATGTTTGAGGAGGAAACTGCTATTAAATCAAGTAGAAGAACTTTGATTGGACAGTGTATTCCTGAGGCGTTGATTGGTTCTATGAATACTAATAAGAAATAATCAAAACCTTACTGTCTACAGCAGCTTCGTGAGATTATGATTAAAACATGCCAAGATATTGACAATGAACGATCAACAAAAGTGAAGTCTATGCTGATAGAATTTCAAGAAATGTTTGCCCTTGCTAGGAAGGATAAGAGCAAAACAAGCATAGTAACGCATAAAATTAATATCGGAGACACTCAGTCAATCAGACAACTACCTAGACGACTTCCATTTGAGAAAATAAATGAAGCCGAAGACATCATTAAACATATAAACAAACCAGGGGTAATTTAACTATCAAATAGTCTATAGACATCACCAGTAGGACTAGTGAAGAAAAAAGATGATTCAACGCGTTTTTGGATTGACTACATTTTGATAGCTATCCCTTGTCCAGAATAGACGAGACATTAGATACTCTCTCCGGTTCTCGTTGATTTTTCAAACTAAATCTAAAAAATGGATATTGGCAAGTAGACATGCAGCCAGCTGATTGGAAGAAAATCGCATTCTCGATATGATCAGAGCTTTGGCAGTTCATGGTTATGCTCTTTGGTTTATGTAATGCCCCTGCCACATTTAAAAGATTATTAGAGGCAGTTTTAAGAGGTGTAACATGGAAAACATGCCAGGTTTATTTGGATGATGTAATTGTGGCTGGAAGATCCTTCGATAAACATACCAATAATCTGACAGAAATCTTTCAACGATTGAAGGCTACGAATATTTGAAGTTAAGTCCGAAGGAATGTTACATTTTTCAACGAGAAGTAAAGTACTTGAGACATATTTAAGTGAGTAATGGTGTAACAGCTATTCCTGAAAAACTTGCAGCAAGTAAGGATTGTTGGAAGTACTGGAAGTACCATAGTTTTCTTTTGTGAAGTGCATATGTGAACACTCTGTACAAATGCTGGTTTTATTGTCTACTAGAATATTCATCAATCGGTCTTTCGTAAAATAGATACGTTAACATTAATAAAATACGCAAAAAAAATTCCAAAATATAAGATAAAAGGATATTGTTTATTCATTACTGTGATATCAGGCCTTATCTACAATAATAATGAAAGCTACTTTTTAGTAATTAGAAAACATGTAACTATTTATAACTGAATTATGATAATTTTAGTTAAATAATAGGAACAACTACTATTTATTTCTCTATAGAAATAAAGAGTCGAGGATTTTAAACAAAATATCATACTTTCGACTAAAGGGCGTAGAACTAGCGTGAGAAACAATAAATAATTTACCATCATAACCATCTGTTTAACGTACACTCCTATCCTACTGTTGTCATTGCCAAAACATAATTTTATTTTCTCGAGAGAAACTCCAAGTGTTGTATGAAAGGAAAGCTTTAGGTAAATATGAACGGTTTTTATTTTCCATATTATAAAAATGGAGTACTTGTGAGAGCTTTGTGTAATACACTTATTTTAGTATTGAAGAGCAAAGTTGTTGATAATAAAATTATTTTTTGTACTACTGAAATACATTTTCATTTCTAGTCTTATTTCCATCAAGTACGAAACTTTTGATATTATTACTACGACTTGCTTTTTTTATTGTTGTAATAATAAAATCTGATTATTATCGGCATCTATAAACGAAAATAAATTTGGAGACATAGAGCAAGGAAAACCAGCAGGATTTTTAAATAAATTTCTCGCCGCATATAGTAGGCACGCTACGTAGTGACACCTAAATTAGTAATCCAAATAATATTTTCAAAACCTTTTAAAACCTTTAAAATCTTCCAGAAATCAATTTCTGTAATTCGTTTTATAGAGGGCGGTACATAATGTATTACAGAGGTGACCAACACATCGACAACAAAAGGTTTTGAAAATTTCGCGCGAAAATAAAATTTTCTTTAACAGAAAATAAAATATTTAAATATCTTATTTTATTTTACAGAAAACAGAATGTTTAAAAATCTTAATTCGAAAATTTATCCTAATAATAATAGCCAGTCATCAAAAAAATCATCTCTTGACTTAAATTCATTTACTCCATGTTTGTCCACTTGTATTTACCTACATAGATTTACATACATAAGAAAATCTTTCAAGAAGCAGTAGAAGATGTTGAAGCAAGAATTTGAATTAACGGAGAATGTATCAATAACATCAAATACGCGGATGACACTGTGGTATTCGCTGACAGTTATAAAGCCCTCCAGGAGTTAATTAATAGAATCACACAAGTGAGTCAGAGATAGGGACTTTTACTAAACGTTAAGAAAACAAAATGTATGATGATGTCTACAAAGAAACAGAATCAGTGTGAATGGTCAACCAAGAAAAATAGTAAAAACATACACCTACCTTGGTACGAACATCAACGAGAATTGGGACCATTTCGTAGAAATAAAACCTAGGATAGAAAAAGCAACATTTGTATTTCAAAAAATGGCTAAGCTACTAAAATGCCTCGATTTTTCAGTA